GGAACGTTGCTGCAAGACAGGCATATGTAACGACGACTTAGCGCTCTTAAACGCGTGTGTCATTAAATACAGTCCTCCTGACAACAGGCCAGTGAAAAATCTAACAATCTACAGCAAAACCATCAATTATTATGGGCGTTATAACATACGTGTGCAGCTGGATGAAACATACACGTCGAACCCCCCCAGACGATTTAAATACCTGACGAAACATACACGTCAAACCACGGCAACGGGTTAAAAAGTCAGTGTTAGACTGTCACATATTTCTCCGCACATCATTTTTATTTTGTGTCTTGGAAGAGGTATAAACCCACTGAGCCAGTATTACTTTGTGAGTAAAAGGCATCTTCGCCACTGTGACTTTCGGTATCAGTGTCGGACTGGCACTCTTTTCAACTAGTATTATAATTACTTTGCATCACTATTTTGCAAGTATTACTAATAGGTGAGAGTGTTGCTTTGTCAATCAACATAATTTATTTGATTCTGCTAGAAACCCCCCTCCCCCAAGATGATTCTTCAATTGCACAAGGCGGATGTCACGGTCAGTGGCGTTTCTCGGGGGGAGGCCAAGGTTATCTGGGGCCCAACTGAGTCGACTGGAGGTGAAACATTCACAACACTGGCCAACCAAAGGGAAACAAAGACGTCATGTGTTTTTCTAAATAAGAAAAGCAGGAGCACGCTCTTCTATTGTAAAAAGGGCGATGTCACTCTGTGTGAGGTGGACTGCTTCGAGAAGTGCCATGCGCATCAGAGTGTATTGTAAACTGTGTAGTGACGCAGTTCAAACATGTGTACAGTCTGAACAAAATATTATTGTATATAGTGTGATTATATTTAGAATATCACCATTATTCAAGGTTGAAGAAAAAAACAATGGGTAAGTCCTTTGGAATTTCATAACATATATAAAAAAGATTATATTTTGCGTTTCATGACAAAATAATCAGTTAATTTTCATTTGTAAAAATTGCTCTTTTGTGTATATGTAGAAAATTTTATTGTCTTTCAGGTTGTTTTTAGTTTGTATTTCTATGTTGCATAGAACAGAAAACATGTTGTATTTTTTCTGAAAGTTTGCAATGTTAATTAATTAGGGAGATTTAAATACCAGCTGCAGAGGGCTCCCGGCAATTTAAAAGTCTGTACGTTAAAGGCTAAAATATAAAAATATGACAAATTGAAAATATGTAACATATTCATTTTAAGCTTCATATACATATCATATACATGATATATGGCTTTTGTTTATAAATATGTGCAGTAAAATAATATTTTGACATATCCTATGATTATCATTACTTACTTGTGGTCAGCTTTCTTGTCTTAAAGTATACAAATTTTATCAGTCATTCCATAAAAATTTTTTTTGAGTGTGAAGGGTTCTGTGGCCAAATTAAATATGGAAACACTGTATTGCATGAATGCATCATGAAACACCAAAATAACCTATAAATACTTTTACTGCCATTGGCCTACAGTGACATTTACAAGCAACAGAACAGGCCTTGCACAAACTGTCTACAAATGTAGATATCACCTACAAAAACTGGATGCTAGAATGAAAATATGTGAATAATATGCAACAAAATTAGGTACTATAATGAACATTTTAGGCAGCCAAGTGAATGGTGAGGATGTAAAGTGGTAGGAAGCAAGAAAGTTACAGTTTTAAGTACAATATGTAAGAGAAATTGACAGGGGTTACCTTAAAAACAGAGACCAACAAGAACCATACAATATGCTTTTACTCACCGTACAATATCAACTGCACCTGCTCGGACTTTAGGGTCACGTCCTGTTACTGACATACTGGCTGTGAACGACCCATCAATACTGAAGACAACACATTCTGTTCTGGGAGGAACCACTGCCATGTAGAAGTCTACTGAAGTGTGGTCTCCCCTGCAAGAAAAATTGCATCAATTTTGCAAGGGAAATGTCACAAGAACAATAAAATGTGTATGTAATTCTCTTACTGCAGAGTTACATACAGGATAATACACATATATACTGGTCTGACATCTGCATCTAGATATGTTTCCACAATATACATCAAATGCAAATGTTTTTGTAGTTATAAAGAAAAACTGCAGTTCATTTTCCAAAAGAGCAAACATTAAAATTATACTGGTATATGCCGGTATAATTTTAATTATGCCTTACTGGATATAGCAAATTTATTCCACTTTGCTCTTACACTTATACAGTTTACAATTTTATGACTACTGCCATCTGCAGTATCACACTTACTGCTGCCATTCACTAGATAACAATAGACTTCAACCCACTGCAGCGAATACTAGACTGCAATTAACTGGTTACTCTCCCTCTAGTAACTGGCTCAATACTCACTCATGAATCACTCACTACTCACTAACTCTGAATAGTGTTCGCTGCTCCTTATTTATCCTTGGCACGGACAACACAGAAAACAGTTACGTGATAGGTACCGCTGTTGCCTTACACCATGTTTACAGCTTGTCTAGAAACAATGTCGAGTTGTTTACTGCTCTCTAGCAACCGCGGAATCCTTTGGTAACGTCACCGTGGGAGGGGGCGGGATGTTTACTGGCCTGTTACCATAGCAGCAGCAATGCTCCGAAGGTGTTATGTCACTGCTGGCTGGGGAGCGAGTGTCCTGCATAGCGCAAATATGTCACAGTATTTAACTGGAAAGTACACAGTTCTCTTACCTTACAACCATTTTGATAGGATACATGCCATAACTGAGGGCACTATCTTCAGGAAATGTGTACGTAACACGACCAGTCTTATCTGTCACTTCTGTTGCTACAAGCGTCCACTCTCCAGCAGGTGCATCTTTCATCACATGTATATCAACTTTTTCACCTGAAAAATGATATGTGTTCATTATGATTACATTGATAAGGATGAAAAGAGCCAATGTAGCACCACTGTGTAATACTGCTGTGTTCTCCTGGTATATTTTTTACACTGTGCAAGGAAAGTCTTTGTTGGTAGTGCACTTTAGGGTCTCAGTGGAGTCTGAAGTACTGTTTTTGCTACAAACAACATTTTTAGGTATCTCAATGGGCCATTCAAGAGATGAACAATGAAATGAAACCCATATGGTCTTCCTAGAATTTCATAATTCTACATTTTCTGCAGTGTACCAAACCAACTCACAAAAAAAAAAAAAA